GCCCCAACTGCATATTTTTTGATGTGTTGCAAATGTGTCAAAAAAAGTTGAGAATTTGATCACTTTCAAATTCAGTGAATGTTAACCTGAGGAATATGCCATTGTGAGTTTACTATCCTTTGCAAAGAGCTCTGCCTGCAGGAACCCCCTGGGAGGGGTAGTGGGCAGGACAAGGACTTAATGGCTTGGGAAAGAGACTCGGTGTACGAACCTGTGCACCTCCCTGCATGCCTGGGAGGAGGTGCAGGCGCATTTTCACTTAGTTCTGGAAATGTTTCTCTTTAAAGAATCTGGTTAATAACCTGCACTTTTGTCAGCAGTGAATGACACTACGAAATCATACCCCAAAAGCCTCATTTACGGCACTTTAGCCACTAAATTTAGAATTAAGCTAAATTTAGCATTAGCCAAATGCCCAAGCTGCAAAATGAACACTTAAAATCAAATGTTAGATTTTGTAATATTTTCAGAAGATGTTTCTTTCTGAAGCTGCAAATAATTAAATGAAATGAAAGTACATTAGGGGCTGGGGAGATGGCTCAGTGGAATAAATGCTTCTCTGGCAAGTGCAAGGGCCTGAGTTCAATCCCCGGTTCAAAAAAAAAAAAAAAAAAAAGTACATTAAGTTTTGCTTTCTTCTCTGTACTCTTAACATTCAGCCCTCAGATTAGCTTTTGTAATTTCTCACTTAGTCGAAATGCTGATTTGTGCATAGTTGCTATTTTATCAGCACAATTTATAAAGACAGAATTCTTGGGGGTAAACAATTATTCTTGGTGATATTGCTTGGGGCTCTTTGCACAGAGTTATTCTGTGAAAATTTAAATAAGAACATTGCTCTGACAGCCGTGAACACAGTTCTGAAGATTTGTGAGAGTCAGTCTTGCGAAGCGCCGCTGGTGAGAGTCCCCCCAAGCTACTCCCCACCTTTCCAGTGGCTTCTGCATTGTACTTGCTAAAGGACAAATGCAGGAAATTAAGCCTCTGATGCAGCCTGAGTTGCATTCAGGCAAGGGAAGCAATCCACTCAAAACACATGGGCTGTGCTTTAGCTTGTGCGCTGGTCTTTCCATGGTCTTGGGCCTGAAAATGCCTCTTGCTGGTGTCAGACTTGGATTTGCGGTTTTCTGTGGATGCAGAGAGAGAGATCCGGGAGCTTCTGTAACTTTGGCTTTGTGATGTTTGGAAAGAACTTGAAGCCTGAGTTTGTGCCTCTGTGTGTGTGTGTGTGTGTGTGTGTGTACGCGCATGCATGTTTGTGTGTGCAAATTAAGCGTTTGGGAGAAGGGGCAAGTGAAGACTGGATGTTGTGTGCTTCCAGTAGGACACGTGGCCGGATGCGTGCTCCACCGTAGCTGCTACACATCGAACCAGTGGTCACCCATGCAGGTGCGGTTCCACTCGCAGCCGCAGGTCCAGCACCACTCAAGCCGGCACTGGGGCTGAGGACACTTCATGTGCATGCATCCACCTGCAGGGACAGAGGACGCAGTGCCGTGGGTTTGTGGCTCAGGCGTGGGAGACACTCATTCCCATGCCAGCTTGCTGGTCTAGAAATCATTGTCTTAGTAAATGGTGCAAGGGCAGAGAGAACCCAAGACAGAGAGAAAGCATCAGCAAGCAAGGCGGGCAGCTCTGAAGTTCTAATGCTCATTAAGAAGTTGAGGCACACTCCTTCCCATCAAGAGCAAATCGATTTGCAAATCTGAGTTTGTCTATTTCTTCTAAAATAAGACTTAGAGGCAAATGATTCATTTTTTTTTTTTACATTCAATTCCTTATTTAAATTTAAATACTTACTGAATTCAATACCTTAAATATATTCAAAAGTACATTTATATAAAGGCTACTGTAATGAGGGAGCCAAGCATCAAGCAGTTTAGGATATTGACTCCTACACACCATGGAGGAGAAACCAATGCCCAAAGTGAGTACTAGTGTCCAAAGTGGTATTAACAGGAGTGACATAAAAAATAAAGTAAAAATAAAGCAAATAATGAAGAAATTCGTGGCCCAAAATTTTGGGAATAAGTTGATTAAGGTTTCTTTACAAGTGAATTTGGAACAGCTTTAACATCCTAGTGCAGGAGGGGCATGAGCGGCTTCTGAGGGGTGACACACTCTAGCCCTTGTGGGACTCAGCCTAGTGAGGGCTCTGTCCTGGTGACTTAGTTCTGCTCCACTAGCAACCATCGAGGGCGTGCCGTGAGGAATCACCCACCACATGGGCCGGACAGGGGTGTCCCCTTGCCTCTGCAGTATCTCTGAACACTTGAATCCCCTGGGGGACACTGTGAAATCCTGGATGGGAAGTTTTCCTAACATTTTTGTGGTGGTTGATGACTGACCATACACTAGGTGTCTAATACTATTAGGAATCAGGGTAATTCATGTTTCCTCAGTATTTCTTTTCCGCCCGACCCTGGACCTTCGTCTGGATGACCATGATGTCCTGTGCTGCTACCACCCACCACAGCGGAAAGCTCCCCGCTTCGCAGACCTGCGGGCTAGGCATTTATTTCCCATGGAATCCACATCGAGAAGCTCCTCCTAGCAGCCCTGCTCCCAGTGAGCCTTAGTACACTAGGGCATTTCAGAATTGCTTTTGTGAAGAAGCAGTGTTAGTTTTAGAGGAGCTGGGGTTTGGGAGGCTAAGAAACTTGATACGAAAGAACCACGATTCAAACTTGGCCTGGAGGGGCTGAATCAACGGCTGTGCTTGCTTAATCGCACACACAGCGGTCAAGCCTGCCCAGAATCCCCGCCTGCCACCAGCACACAGCCATCACCCCCCAGAAGAGCCCAGTGCCCCCTCCTTCCCTGCTTAGGCCACACTCACCATTTTTCTCAACTGGCACACTGCAGCGAGGGCAGGGCTTGGTGGTTTTCTTGATGGTCTCCTTGGAGGCCTCTTCCCAGCGTGCCTGCTCCGCGGCCCTCTCATCCACTCTGTAGGGCTGGGGAGACCGAGACAACAGGAGTTTAAGTTCACGTCTTTATTGCTGGAATTGAAGTTTCCTCCTACAGAGGAGTCTGAAAGGTGGACTCGCCTTTAGGCAAGAAACCCATATGTCAATTCGCTTTCCACGTGCTGGACAGCATGGGACATGCAGAGAATGCTCTGCTCCTGGCACCTGGCATATGCCCATAAGCTAGGAACAGATTGTGTGGTTATATAGCATGTAATATTTATTCTATTATTTTGTATAACTATAATAAATAACACTTACTAGGCCATTAATGTGCAGGCAAGGTGATAAATGCTTATGTATGCTTCCTATCAGATATTTTATTGGGTATGAAGTGAACATCCTGGCTTTTACTTTGCTTTGAGGATTAGGTAATTTTTTTTTTTTTCCAGCACCAGGGATTGAACTCAGGACCCTGAGCTCACCAGGCAAGCAGTTATTCTACTGAGCTATCTCCCTGGGCCCTGTATTAAGTGAACTAAACAATGGATCAACCTTGGTAAGTAGGAGACTCTGTGACTCCCAAACCTTTGCCCTTAAATTTTAGAGCTGGTTTTCCTTACTCTTTGCACCTGGGAAATGGGGAGCAACAAATGTTGCTACAGACGGACATCAGCAAGAACAAGGGAACAACTAAGAAGAGAGCTTCAGCAGTTGGGACCACCCAGAGACCGGGAGCTCTGGAGCCCACTACTTGGGTTGAAATCCCAGCCCCAGGGAGGTACATGATATTGGAAACATTAACTAACAACTATGAAAGTTCTCATTCCTTAGATGCAAATAAAAAAAAAAATGCCAAATACATGAGGAGAATAGAGGTAGTAAAGTCATGTCTTTAAGTTCTCAGAATATCTTATATAATATGATATGGTAATACGAATTACTTCTGGATCTATAAAATGGCAATGTCTCAAATATGTCTGCCAGCATTACTTATGCCTGTGAAGACTAGATCATCCTTTACTCTTACCACATGATATGGATTAAATATGTCCCCTAAAGTTTATGTGTTGGGCCGAGGAGATGGCTCAGTAGATTAAGTGCTTGCCTGGCAAGCACAAGGGCCTGAGTTCAATCCCCAGTTCAGCCAAAAAAATAAATAAATAAAAAATAAAGTTTATGTGTTGAAAACCTAGTATCCAAATTCATGTGTTCATGGTACGAGGGGGGTGACTAGGGTCCTATAAGGTCTGAGAGTGGCGTTGCTATGGCGCCATCAGTAGCTTCATCAGATGAGAGGGACCAAAACTCATGCGCACTCTGCCTTGCCGTGTGCTGCTCTCCATGAGATTAGAGTGGACAATGGCGACGTTCACCAGGTGCTGAGAAGCTGTGGGTGCCATCTCCTGGGCTTTCCAGACTCTAGAACCATGAGTCAGATAACTGGTTCTTACTTATGAATTGATGTACCTGGACTCAGGTGTTTTGCTAATGCAATGAAAAACTGGTTAAGGGATTTTAAAAGAGTGACTGCAGACATTCATCCTGTGTCTACCTAGTAATTCAGACACTGTGACCTCTTCTACTTATGTCAAACATTGGATGACATGTGCAGAGAAAGAACTGGTATATTTTTAGATTTAGGAGATGTACTTTGTGGCTTAGAAATATATTTCAAAATATTAATGCAACTTGACCCTTATAGTATTTAAAAGTTCTTTTACTATTTCTTTTCTTTCTTTTTGTCTTTGCAGAACTGGGGATTGAACTCAGGCCCTTGAGCTTACCGGAGAAGTGCTTATTCCACTGAGCCATCTCTCCAGCCCCTCTTTTACTATTTCTAAAATGAATATAAACCTGCAAGTTATTTTACTAACTTGTAATAACAATTTTATGTATTTATTTATTCATTTTCATCTTTTTGAGACAGGGTCTCACTATGCAGTTCTGGATGGCCTTGAGCTCACATCATAGCTCAGGCTATCCTCAAACTCACAGCAATCCATCTCCTGCCTTAGTCTCCTAAGTGCTGAGATTATAGGTGTGTGCCACCATGCCTGGTCTCCTAGCCCTTTTGATGTTCTTTTTCTTTTTTCTCTGTATTTAGGACAGGGTCTACAGGGTCTCACTACGTAGATTGGACTCAGAGTGATTCTCCTGTTTTCAGCCTCCCAAATGCTGGGATTACAGGCACATGCCACCATGCCCAGTCTCAATTGCTGGCTCAGCATGCCCCATGGGCAGGGCCAGCACAGCACGCTGCGGATCAAACCCCAGCCACTGCACTCTCTCTAAGCAGGAGCTTTAGTCTGCTGAGTTATCAGGCTGGCCCTAGCCCTTTTGAAATGTTAACATTTCTTAGTATCTATGAGTGAAGTACTATAAGGAAAATAACTGCTTGTATATTGGTTAGCAGCATTTAACAGCTTTTATAGAAATTGGTTTTATAGAATGTTGCTATTGTTTCCAAGAGAAAGTAAATTCTGTCTGGGCCACGGTCATATTTGAGTCATCTTCATATTTCCAATGTCTGGTTTGTGCCTGGTCTATGGCAGACATTTACTACACTTTAATCTTTTATGTATGTATTTACTTGGTACAGGGTCTTGATATACAGTGAGGACTCATACTGATCCTCCTGTCCCAGCCTCCCCAGTGCTGGGATTAAAGGTGTATGCCTCCATGTCTAGTTTTGGTGGCTGGCATGACATCCCCGTGTTTCAGGGCTGGCACAGCATGCAGTACCTGAGATTCAACCTGGGTCTTTGCACTTGCCAGGCAGGAGCTTAGACAACCGAGTTATCCCCCGGGCCCCATTTGCTACATTTTAACTAAGTAAATTAATAAATCAGTTGTGCAGCTAGCCCATGAGGGCACTAAACTGATGGTTACTTAGAACAGGTCCCATGGAGTGGGTGGACACATGGGTACATCCTTGAGGTGGGGTTGGACTTAGCCAGGGCTGGTCCCTGCGGTGAAACCCATTCCATTTCAGTTAAGTTCACCACATTTACAAAAATGTGACTCAAAGACTGCCATGTGGTTTGTACTAGAATGAAGCAGAATCAGTTTAGCCGCTAAAAAGCAACCACAGGTCCCTGAAAACGTTGGCTCTGGTACATCTTCAGGCTGAGAGTTCAGTGATAAGGCTGTGGCTAGTGATTTGGTGTCTCGGCGGTCATCTTAACTACACGACTTCCGGTCAACTCAGACACAAGTGGTTCTAATGCTTAGGGATGGGTATCAAATCCGACCCTCCAAACATATTGTGAACCCACCCCAAACTTCTCCCGTGAAAGGCCAGGAGTCTGTGCAGTGGGTTAAAATTGCTTATTGGTGGCAAGTTGGTCATACAGATTGGAGAACAAAACAATTTTACTTGTTAAAAAGTGATTTCTGAAGGCTTCTTTTCAGCACCACGGCACACTAAGTGGGATTCTCCTGCTTCACAGACCTAAGTTGCTGGGTGAACTGTGAGGGGGAAAAAAAAAAAAAAAAAATATATAATCCTTATTCCATTTTTCCTACA